GGGTCATGGGCTTCTAGTGTATCAAAGCACCGTTACATAGATTAGAATGAGTTAGATGGAAGAGACTATAGCAGGCGTGAGATGGCACGTAATTGCACCAAGATAGCCACCCACGTGCGATGGATTGCATCGCTCAAAATACTTCGATTCAACCATTCCTCCAGATCCTGGCCCAGAGGTGCTTTAAGGTTCATGTGGACCAAGAATCTAATGCAACACAGGCTACCAAACGGGCCAAAACTGCACCACACAGGCCTGGCTGAACCTAATACAGGCTATCAAACACCTCTTAAGCCAGTTGGCTGGATAATAACGATGTCGATCTCGAAGGCAACACCAGAGTGAGTTTGAGCTTTATCGCTATTGCACCGTCGGGTGTTTCAGGGCGGACCGTGGCAGGAAAAAGCTCTGTGGTTCCATGCGCACGATGACGAAGACGGCTAGCCGAGTCATACCGCATGAAGTCACCGCAAGGCTCGGTGCTCCCATCTGACATGAGATAAACACAAGACTAGAAGGAGATCCTTATCGGAGTAACCTTCCGTACCAACCAAAGAAGGAAAATGGGCTCGGTTAATATGAGGCTTGCATGAATGGCATGCGCCGCATGGGCCAAGTAATGGACTCCCATATCAGCATTGCTGCAAGAGTAGTGAGAAATATGAGGCTGTGGTTAAGGAAATTGTAGCACTAATATCTCCTTCACCCTTTGTAACTTCGCCTAGGAAAAAAGAGGCTCAGTTAACTATGAAGCCCACAATCTAGCTAGCCTTGCATCTTCTCTAGATCATGGTAGAGGCACCTGGCTTGGTCTACCTTATGATACAATTTGTATTCCTATGATCATCAATCAATAAAAACCTAGTGGGTTGTGCTAAAAAAGAGTAATGTTGACCTGATTCAATCCTAGGAGCAGCGACCCTTGTAGCGTTGAGCCGTCCGGACGCTCGGAACGATGAGCGATTTGGACCATCGATGGCTATATCAGATGGTTGAGAACGCTAAATCATTGTGGAGGGCCTAGGTGGCTAAGTATTACTAGCAAAACATACCCGTGCGTTGCAACGGAAAAAAAGTATCCATCCCTCATGCTCACACCTTATAACATCGGCGAATCCTTTGAAATCTTTCACGATGCCACACAACAAACAACATGATAAGTGGTGTTTCGTAAAAAGCATAAGATTGGATGATTTTTGAATACTCAAGATGTTTCAAATTTATTTGACAACATGAATATCAATGGTAAACCGACATTTCCAAAATACCACATGTAAAGAAGATATTAATTAAGGTTGTATCGTAAACAAAATTTTAGAAATGATTAATATAATAGCATATTTGAAATCTGCATGATTTTTTGAGAGATTTCCATATATGACATGTTAGATTTTGGGTTTGAAAGTTATGAGTTAAAAAACATTTGAATGTGCCCGAAAATGGAAAACATAAAAATAAAGTGGCTGGGCCAAAACTGAAACACAATGTGACCCATCTGTTAAGTAGGAGAGAAAAGGAGAAGGAGAAGATTCTCGAAAAAACAAAAAGGAGAAGGAGAGTGAGAAAAGGAGAGAACCGGGAATCGAACCCGAATATTAGCCTCAGGTATAGAGACGTGAGGCTAATACCACCACGTCATTGTACCACGTGTGTTGAATTATATGGGCTTACCTCAAATAAACAGAAGTCGTCCATGATTTTAGAAGGAAAAAAGTGAACCGTTTTTTCCCACTTACCGGTGGCATGGTGGGTAATTATTTACAACCCCAAGGGTAATTTTAGTGACGAACGACCAGAAGCACTATTTGCTTTATTATTAAAAACTAGCAAATGAGCCCGTGCGTTGCAACGGGAGAAAAAACATAATACACACTCTTAATTGAACAACCATCACTCAAGATCACAATAGGTCCATCTCCTTTATTTTTGCGAGGCATTATATTTGTGTTGCCTCTTATCCTCCTTCTCACCCTCGCCGGCGATGGTCTCGGTGTTCACACAAAACAACAAAAAATGTGTGTTGAATATGGTTAATCCTAAGGCGTCTCTCTCTCCCTCTCTCCCCCCTCTCCCTCTCCCCCCCCCTCTCTCCCTCGCTCGCTTTCTCTCACTCTTGCGATGAAAAAATTGTTGTTTTCCCTTGCGACATTTTTCAGAGGTATGCACGTGTAGTTATCAATATTTTCTTTTCCGTATATGGTTATAGTGGGGTATTTTTTGCAATCCGGATCGCCGCCGGTATGAAAAAAACGGATCTTGCGCTATAAATTATAAGTTTGCTCCCAAAACAATATTTTAAAAATATTTAACAGGTAAAATTAACATCATATTTAGATTCCACACATTTTTCTAATAAAATTACATATATAATATGTTAAAATCAAATTTATGGTTTAAAAGATACAGATAATTTAGAAAATCATTTGGTTTGACTCAAATATATTCCAAAATAATATTTAAAAATACTTAACAGGTAAAAATAATCTCATATTCATATTCTACATATTTTTCTAATCAAATTTCATATATAACATATTCAAATCGGAGTTACGGTTTAAAAGATATGAATGATTTTAAAAAGCATTTGTTTGACTTAAATATGATTCGCAGATGAATTACCTAAAATATCAAGGGGTTTTTCGAAAAATGTAAAATAACGGTTCAGGTGTGACTTAAATCCGAACGGCGGGTTGATTTCAAGAAAAGACAGGGACTTTTGTGTAAAATACGAAAATAACACTTCGTTTTAACTTAAAACAGGACTGCGGGTTGAATTCTTTGAAATAGGGGGACTTTTCTGAAAAAATGCCATGACGGACGAAGAAAACCCAATTTTCTTTATTATTAGGTAAAATAAAAAAATTAAAAATTATTATTAAAAATAAAATTAGGGGAAGACTAAAAACTGTTTAGAGGTCATGTAATGTTTAGGGGCCTGCTGGAGGTGCTCTTAGTTTTTCTTGGGCGTGGCTATATGCTGCTTAGTGCGAGACCAAGCGTACGCTCGCGTCTGGGTTCACTACTAATGGGCCGGCCCAAGTAGTTTTCCTCTATTTTTCTTGTTCATTCTTTTTTGTCTTTTGTTTTCTTTATATATATATATATATATATATATATGTTAGATTAGAAATTTTTTCTAAATACACACATTTTAGAAATTTAATTTGATGAAAAATATAAAAAGGTGAATTATAAAAATACTAACACGGTGTAAAAAATTGTTAGCGTAATGTTTTAAAGAATGTTGATAGCATTCGAAAAACAATTATGACCAAAAAATGTTCACGTGTTTCAAAAAAGTGTATGTGACACTATACAAACAAGTTAACCATGTATTTACGAAATATTAAACATGTATATAAAAATGTTCCTCATGTATGTGGCATGTACAAGGTGTATAAAAAAATAGACATGAAAACATATATCTAAATTTTCTATCACTACAGAAAAATGTTAGACGTTTAAAAAAATATTCTTGATGCATAAAAAAATCTACAACGTGTATGGATAAAGGTATACATCAAAACATATATTTGAAAAATATTATCATTGTCATAAAATATTAAACATGTATAAAAAATGTTTCTGATGTATACAAAAAATCTACAACAGAAAAATGTATAAATCAAAATGTATATTTAAAACATGTTAATTATGTATTTAAAAGATGTTAAACATGAATAAAATATTTCATGTTGTATAGAAAAAATGTACGATGTATATAAAGAAGTAGACATGTATTTTCATAAAGAAATAAAACACAAGAATAAAAAAATAAAAAACATAAATAAAAGTGAAGACTGAAACCCAAACAGAAAAAACAATGAAAACTATAAAGGGACCACACAACTGAAAAGTAAGAGAAAGCCTTATGAAAATGAAAAACCCTAATGATAGACATAAAGAAAAACTTAGAAAAGGGGAAAAGAAAAATAAACAAATGGAAACCAAAGAAAGCCGATGAGAGATGTACGAAAAAACACATAGAAAAATAAAGAAAAAACAATCGAGTGAAAACCGAAGAAAACCAATAAAATCATAAAGGAAAACAGAAAGAGAAAATGCAGAAAAACCAGACCAGTTCAGCTAGTGTACAATAGAAGAAGATAAAAAAAAAGCAAACCTGAGTGAGCGAACACAGCAACCGAACTAGCAAAACACGCCAAGCTGGCATTATAGAACAGCACACCTTGATGAGAGATGTGAGAAGAGGCTTGAAGAAAGTTTATATTTTCAGAATTATATAAAGTAAGTCAAGAAATGAAACATCCATGGGTATTTGAACCCGAGTATCCAGGAAAACCCAGAATGTTTAATGGACAGACAAGCGATCCCCTTCAACAATCTGTTCCAATATTATGGGCGTTCTACTAGACCCTACTTTCTTGTGACACAACACAACTCAGGTGTGAGCTGAGCGTAGCTCAGATGATGAGGTTTCTTACGGTGGAACCAACCCATTAGGATTCAAGTCCCAAACTTATCGTTGATGGTCACATTTTCCTGAATTTATTTCAGGCCTTTCGGCGACGTGCATTTATTGGGAGGAGACGTAACCGTTGACTATGAAGACGTCTGTGACGACTTTGTCAGTCTCAAGATGATGTGCCGGCTCAGTACCTCAGAGGTGCTGATAAAGGTAGGGTGTACATATGTGCGTTCATAGAATCGGGTTTATGTGCGTGTATGCGAGCGTCTGTATTTGTATTTTATTAGAAAAAAAAAACTTGAGTCGAGCGAGAGCTACATCTCGCAGTGCGCGAGATACAGCACTGGCGGATTTTCCCGGCGCTGCGCAAGATGTACTAGTGGGCTTGCTTGGGCCGAAACTGCGCGAAACAAGACCAGAACTGCACTGACGGTTTTTGCCTAAATTCCCCCTCGAAGAACAAAGCAGTCCCAACTTGTAAAGCCTTTTGCTGCGAGAGACACTGCGGGCAGCGCCGCCGACACCGACGCCGACGCCGACGCCGACGCGGGGTTGAGCCGCCACCGCCAGGATGCGGGGTCTGACGCGGGCGGGGAAGCGCGCCAGTGATATGGCCTTCAACGCCGGCGGCGGAGCCATCAACTGGTTCCCCGGCCACATGGCTGCCGCCTCACGCGCCATCCGCGACCGCCTCAAGCTCGCCGACCTCGTCATCGAGGTCCGCGACGCCCGCGTAAGCCCCCCACACCCGCTCCCCTCCCTTTGCTCACTAGCATCCTCTTTCGAAAACGTCTCGCCTTGTCGGCAAGGGAGGCGGGGCGGCAGGCTCCCGGTGCTCGCATGGTGTTCGATGAAATGCCTTTCCTACAGTGCCACTTTTATCACGTCTTTCTTGCGTGCAACTAAACACATTTTGAAACTGAACATACGGTCTCAGTTCTTAGCCTTAGGTTCTTACTTTGTTATTACAAGTATATGAATTATCAAGATGCCCGCCAAAGAAAATGTAGCAGCATGTACAAGTTGGCGAAACATGCTTCATGCATTGTCATCATTTTAACTGCCTATTTGATGAGTCTTTGTTTGCTTCTTGTGTTTCTCTATTCCTCTGAGGATTACTTTCTTGCAACTGATGTAACTTATGACCAGATTCCGTTATCCTCAGCAAACGAAGACCTTCAGCCGGTGCTTTCAGCTAAGAGGCGTATCCTTGCTCTAAACAAGAAAGATCTAGCGAATCCCAATATAATGAATGTAAGCACCTATCTAGTTTGGTCAGCCTCCGCTGGCTGGAAGCACTATCTCTTGTTGGAACATTCATGAGATTTAATCCTGCTATCATACACAACGAGATTTGGTGCTGTTGCTGATACTCACAAGATCATGTTTACCCCTATATGCAGATGTGGCTTGATCATTTTCAATCATCTAAGCAAGATTGCATCTCATTAAATGCACATAGCAGCAACTCTATTAATCAGGTTAGCTAACTGTTACTGTCATGTTTATCCATTTTGCTTTGTGTAAACCTCACAGGATACCTTCTGTATTATACTGAAAGCATCAATCAGATGTTAAAGCTCTGAAACTATTTGCAACTTTGAGAGCGGGGTTCATTTATCTAATTAGTAATTGTAGGGGTAACTGGCTGCTAGACGCCTAGACCACTTGCTGAAATTCTATATTCTGCACTGGTAAAGGTCATTCACAAACAGAGCCTTCCACTACTAGGGCTTCTACGAGAATTCTAAACTTAACCTACTAGGACATGAGCTGGCTTAACTTAGTAGGACACATGATGACTGAACCTTCATAGTAACTCCTGGATCAATAGGAATATCAATTGAAGTAGGTTTGTAATAGGATTCAGACTTGTGAAACTGCGTCTTGTATGTTATTAACTGGATTTTGATATCTTTATCGTTTCATTTGACTCAACCTCCGTTTGGCTCTGTAAGTATTTCAGGTTTTTAACTGCGCTGGCCTAGATGATGATTTGCTTCTTTTAGTCCTAAGTGTAGGTTTAAGTGTTTAACACATCTAATGTTTGCTTCTGTAACTAACAGCTGCTTGGGCTTGTGGAGTTGAAACTAAGGGAAGCAATCTTGAAAGAGCCCACACTTCTTGTTATGGTAGTTGGTGTCCCCAATGTTGGAAAGTCTGCACTCATTAACTCCATTCATAGAATTGCCAATTCTAGATTTCCAGGTATGACCAATATAACAGAAACTAGTGTAAAGCTCACACTTTGCTGAAGGTATTATTAGATTGTTTTAGTTAGTTTATTTTGAAATATTTATATATAAAATTTGCATTTTTAAGCATAGAGTTGCAAAGTTCAAATGTTGTTGAAGTGCATAACCAAATTGAAATGCCAAAACTTTGGCACATTAGTTTTCTGGCACAGTTAAGACAGTTTCAATGGTGGCATCTTTTGGGAAGTTACAAAGTGAATTTTTGTAATGTGGTAATCTAAAAAATACTTTCACCAACTGAATGTTTCTTTTCAATCTTTTTCTAATATGTTTTTCTGCGAAGAAAGAACATTTCACAAAGGGACGCTCTTTCCACGCAGAGATGTCTTTTCACCAACTGACGTGTCTTTTCATGAAGAAACACCTTTTCACCAAGGGACATGTCTTCTAACAAAGAGACCATTTCATCAAGGGATGTGTTATTTGACCAAAAGACAAGGCTATTTGTAGGTCTTAACTGTGAAGATTTAACGGACTTGATTGACCCTCGATATAATCCAATGACTGCTCTTTTTAGGGTGATGTTGCTTAACGTGGGTTCTCCATTAGGAGTCAGTTTTCGAATAAAGAGGGATATTGTTTATTTCCTTGGTTATCCATGTTTGTTGTTGCTCTATTCCCAGTGAACGATAAGATGAAGCGGGCTAGAGTAGGACCTCTCCCTGGAGTTACACAAGACATTGCAGGATATAAGGTGAGGATCTAAGGTCAATGGCACGACTGAATTTGTTAATTTATTTTTTCCAGATGCTCATTATCGCTGCACTAGGTACCAGGAAAAACAACATATATCACATGTTAACCTGACTGCTTTGTCAGTTATATTATGCACGTGAATGACTGCCCAGTTGTGTCATATTTGAGTACCTTTTTGTTTGTTACTTTATGTTATTCGCGCATATTCAACACTAGATATAGTATTCAATGCAAATAGGCACACATCCATGGATATGGACTAGCTGCTGGAAGCTTGCAATCTTTTCCCCTCTTATTCCTACTAAGAAGATACAAGCTATGTTTTACCTTCAAGTTTTTAATAATAGTTAGTTTGTATATACTGGCAAGTCTTGCTTTGCAGCTCCATCTGGCAACTAAATTAGCTACCTATGTGCCTTGAAGCTCACAAAATAGAAGATCTTAGTCATGGCACATATGCACAATCTTAGCTAAGATTTGGGGACAGCATAAAAACAAAGACACTTGAGAATATAGATGCCAGGAATTGCCTTTCTTTACTTCCGTGATCTCAATTCTCTTCGTTCTGCGTACATTTTAAACATATCCATACGACTAGTACAATTCATTTAGGGCATGTTTAGTTGACTTCCACGCTGTACCCCACTTTTGTGCTACAAGTGTGGCAAGGCAGCAAAATTGGTTGCACACTTGTGGCAGAAGTTGGCTAGCAAATGACTCCATGAAAAGTGGGATAAGAGGCTAAGAAAGTGTGTTGTGGCTGCGAGCAAACACTTGCCTAACTTGTCTGCCTAACATTTGGCAAAGTGTGGTTACAAACCAAACATGTCCTTGGCCCATATGCCATATGTGGCCCTGTCATCGCGCTCGGCCGGTAATTATTTCATTTAACCCTGACTCCATTCTCTTTCACGAAAACAATCAGCTCAGTAATTTTCAACTGTCCACACATGGAACTTTTGTGTCAGTGACCCTTTATTCAAGTGAGTGCATTTGTAGAAGTACGAGCCATTTCTAGGACAGTGCCCTGTTGTTTGGTCTCTTCTGTTATGATTAATTGAGTACATTAAACAATGCAATGATTTTCTGATAGATTGCAAGCCAGCCGAGCATTTACGTGCTTGATACACCAGGTGTTCTAGTGCCAAGCATTCCAGATATGGAAACAGGTCTAAAGCTTGCTCTGACAGGTTAGATTCTTATTCTGTGCTATCCTTTTCTCTGTGCGAACAATTTTCTGAAGAGCAAGATTATTGGCATGCCTTCCTCGTAATGATTATCTCGGTTTGCTTACTAGTTTTACTCTCCTCCGATATTGGATTTTTCACATACTTGTATTGCCACATGGTAATATTGTACTTTTCTGTTTATGTACAGGAGCTGTTAAAGATTCGGTGGTAGGAGAGGAGCGTATAGCCAAATATTTATTATCTCTTCTTAATATTAGAAAAACTCCTCTACATTGGGAGCGATTGCTACACAGAAGAGAAGAATTTGATGAAGATCCAGATGACAGTTGTGAAAAAGGGTCTAGAGGTTCACTGCGGAGGAGGCAGCGTTTTAACAATTCCGATGCCTTGTATGTTCAGGTACTGGCTCTTATCAGAAAATGCACGGCATGGGCCAATTAGGGGGCATGTCTAAACCCGTATCCAGGTGCTATCATGCAAACTTTTCTTGTGTGCCATCATCTGACATTAGGATGTATTAGATATATGAGAGTTTGAGGATCACATGGATGATTATTTTGAAAATAATAATAACTCCTTAGGATACTTACAATCAGTGTGATCCTACCACCTGAAGTTTTTAAGATCAGATGCACTGGATTAGCATGAAATGGTCATGGTTCACATGTGATGTGAGCTTGCATTATTTGTAGCTTCAAGTCATGGTTTCATTTTTTTTTTCATTAGATGCTACCCTCTTTGTTAATTGCTCTGTTGCACTCTATGCAGCTAGCTTGTCAGTAGCTGACATGGTAGTTATAAAAAAATTGTGAAGTGCTGGTGATTGATATCGCTAACCTGCTAGGTATACATTTATCTTCACTTTATATTCATGATATATCGAAGTCACAATCTTCAATTCACTGCTACCCGGGGCTAGCTTTAGGCAAAGTTGGGTCATTAGCAAACATTACACATCCATCTAGTTTTTGTTAGTTTGTTTTCTGTCATACTCTGTTTTGAACTCTGCAAATTAAACAGTCAGCTTGGAGGTTTGCTCAGAGTGTGTGTAGCAAAGTTAGATTTCAGCCAATTTTGTGTGGTTTTGCTGGCAACAAGTTCAATAGTGAATTTATTCACAAAATAAATTCTTCGCCATAGAATATCTTGTTCTGGCATATCTTATGTTACTATACATTAATGCTAGACTGTTGACATTTTATGTACCACAATTCATTGCTTCGGTCATTTGACACTGCTGTATCCTGGCCTAGTGTCTTGCAAAATTTGTTTGAAATAATGATAACTTTGTCGTGCAAACTAGTATAGTACCATGGGAGAAGTTGATAGTTTTGAAGCCACAATCTTTGATTCACTGCAGATTAAACTATTAGCACCAGGGTTTGCTTAAAATATGTGCGGCAAAATTGGATTTCAGCATATTTTTTGGCTGTGCTAGACTGCTAGCTAGAAGATCCGGAATCCACTGATTCCTCCAAATCTTTGGAATTACACGGTTCCAGCTCTTAGCGGAACAAAACAATTTCGTCTCAGCACCCACGTCTCTCTCACCCCCACCTAACCCACCTACCCCATCATCTCTCTCTTGCATAACGTGGCCGTGGAGATGGAAAGAACAGTGGCGGTGGGCTATGAGCAAAGGAAAAACAGCGGGCCACTCCCAGCGAGAAGGCGGTTAGCGGCGTAGGGCTAGCAGCGAAGCAAAAATCAGCGGCAGCGGCTCGCAGGGCAGCATGCAGGCGGATCGATTCGTGGGCGGTGCTCGGCAGTGGCGGTGTGATGCCTGTGCGGCACTCCTCGGCAGCAGCTGCTTGCGGCGTCAGCTTCCAGGCAGGAGCGGAGCAGCAGGGGAAGCCTGGGAAAGAAGCAGCTAGCACGCAGCAGAGCAGCAGCAGCACCAGAGAGTGGGAGCGGCTAGCAGAGAGAGGAGCGACAGCAGCATCGGCTAGTAGGGTGATTTGCTCTAGTGCTACTAGCTACAACATCAGCTAACTGCTAGAAGTTTCCCCCTTGTTTTCTTTTGTTATCCCCTCACTTTATCATGTCCCATAGCATTGACCCTCGTTTTCCTGCATTCTCATAGCTGCTCTATCAGAGTTAGAATTCTGAGCATTGAAGGAAAAAAAGGCTAGTCCACACTCCACACTGTCCATGGTGTGGTTTATATAGTAATAAATTTTACACACGTAAAACATAGGCATCAGTATATGAATTTTCCAACAAAAAGCTAGTCTTTTGCGATTTTTGCTTGGTGTGTATGCTGGTTGGTGCATTGAAAGGTAATCTCACCCTTTTCTACACAAGAGGCGAGCTGAACCAAATTTATTCTATCCCATATCTCAAACCAAACACTGAAATGTAACCATTCCATTGCACATAATGCCCACAACCAAACACAGGAACGAAACCAACCCACTCCGTGGAATGGAACCATGGCATTCCATTCGACTTTGTTCTCCAACAAAGCACACCCATAATGGAGAATTTATTCATGGATAAGAATTTATTCGCCATGTATATCTTTTTTTTATGAGACCATGGGATATCTTTTGTTTGCATGTTTTTATTTTAGTATGATGCTAAATTATCAACTTTCTGTGTGCCACACATAGCTTCAGGTTTGTTTTCACTCCAGTACTATTCTAGCTCGTCCTGCAAAATTGTAAGGAATAATGCCAATAGATGCTAATTTGTATTTCCTGATCTAATTTAGGGCCATGGCAGAAGTTGATAATATGGTCTGATTGATTTGATTGATGTGTGCTCATAACATAGTTTTGGTGGAGTGTGCTGCATCCACGTGTGAAACCCACCATATTAGTTAGTGCAATTCTATCTATCTATCCTACCACAGCAGTTACCATGCAATGATGTAGTGCATTGCACTGATGTGTGTCACTATAGTTCCTCTGTTGTGTACACCTCGGCATACAAGACATTAATAGTGGTTGAGATCCAAAAAGGCCCATATCCAGAGTCCCGTAGCACACTTTGTGCTAGTTGAACTCCCACCATGTGATTATGTCTATCTGCCATATCTTGTTAATTATTCTAATTAAATATAATTGAACTGTAAAATAGTACATTTTGTTGACTTGCCAATTATTTTCTTTTTTTTTGCTCAATCCTTTGTGTTCTCACTTGTTTGCTTCATCATTTCTGCTTGTGTGTCAGAGTTGATTTTGTGACTCGTCTTCAAGATAGCACA